CTGTCTTCTTCACTTCTGATTTCCCTCCAGAGTTTCACGTCATCGGCAAGAAGAAGGATTTTCGAAGAGACCTGTTGAGGCAAGTCTTTTATGTATATTAGAAAAAGGAGGGGCCCTTTCGTTATCAAGTTTCCTCCTCTGAAGCAGGCGCCATGGCTGTCACCCCACAGATTCTTTAGAGCCTTTCTCTCAGTATGTGGGATGTCCGGCAGCGCCCTAACATCCGCTTCAGCTTTTAGCACGTGAGATGCCGAGAGTAAATCCTCAACATACTCTGGGCTGGACAATGTGGGCCTCAAAAGATGGGGTTCGCCCTTAGTCATTGGGTCGGGACTGCGATGGAGCCTAGTTGCAGCTACTGGTTTTATGCGGCCCAGCTTGAGTTTTCTGCATACTTTCTCTCAAAGAACCCTATCACTCTTGTCCTGAAGGCTATATGGGAGTTCAGGGCTGTCTGTCAGGTTCATGCTGATCAAGGAATCATTCCGGACATTGGTATGCCTTGCCAACTGTTGACGCTCGGTTGTTTTTTGTTGAGCTTTCATCTTTTCACCAGCTTTGCCCCCGTTCGTCGGCAACGCGTTTTCTTGTCTGACAAACTGGTTAGTGACTCGCATGGTCTGACGTCCATTCCAGTTTCCTGAGGACCCGTGTCTAGCCTCCCCGATTTCCAGATTACCCAACTTGGGTTTGTTCCCTGGGTTTCTCACATTCCTAGACCCGATGGGTTTGACTGGAGTTGAAACTCGGCTGTTGTTATTTCGTACAATGGATACCCGTTCTCCTTCTTGACCAACCTTGTTAGGTATTACCGTTTCATTTTGCGCTTCATCTGTTGATGACAAAATTTAGAAGGAAGACTGCAGGACAGTTGACGTTATTGCACTACCGAGGTGTATCATGTCTGTAGCGTCACACACTTCCCCAAAATCAATAATCCAGGGTATGACGACATTCAACATTGATGCTGACTTTGATAGTTTAACTGGACTCGCCAAGCTGGCGACACCTCGTCAAGCATCCTCGCCATTTGCCACGCTGTCGTGTCACGTCACACCGCTCATATTCGACTCTCTAGCCAGTTAGTTGGAACGCATCTTTATCTTGGCACAACCACCCAAATAAACTATTCCATCCGACTACGCTATCGTGTTCTTCCTTGTTCTCGTATTCGTGGGTACATAATAAGCCGGAATAATTAGTGATTAGTTTTTGCGTCTGTCAAGTTCGCGCCGGGACAAACCCCAATTGTCCACCGTCAAACAAGACCCTTGTTCTTGTCGAGTGACTTGAGTACGTTTTCGGCCAGACGATTTTCTAGCTCCATAACCCTCTTGCTTAGGCACTGCTTTTGAGTTTTCCAGCTTCACTTTTTACGACCTACTTTCAGTCCGTTTTCTAATTCCGATAGCATGCTGATGACGTTTTCCGGAGCATTGTCAAGTGCAGATCTACACTGGCTACAACTGCACTTGCAGCCGGGTTTACTGAGTTTGGTGTACTCAGTTTGCGTTAGGTCAGTGCAAACGCAATGGAACCATCCGTCGCACGTGTCACATTGCATACTCACCTGAACAGGTTGACGACAGCCCTGCCTCTCGCACGTCTGTTTGGCCGCCATTTTCGTTGAAAGTATAGAGAGAGTATATATTTTTAGAAAAACTGAAAATATAAACTCTGGAGAAGCTTGAAAAAGAGTTATTAGATCAAACCAAGACCGTGGCAGAGGTAAAGCCTCGTTATCCTAGTATGAACAAAATTACACGTGAAGAAGGGTAAACTTATCGAACTGAAAGCTCGGGAGAACACTCTTACTGAAAACCGGAGCTATCGTTACGTTAGACACAACAAAAGCTAAATTGCTAAATCACGGTAAGATTACACTTCCTTTCAAAGCAACGCCTCGTAAGTTGGATTATTATGTCAGCTTTGATGTAATGACCGCGAGACCAAATACACAGGTGAAACTAGTCGGTCGGGGCCAGTTGGCATGGCAGAACATGGGGATCCAGCTAGATATCAAATGGCAGACCCAAATGAAATCCATATTTTCGAAAAAACTCGGCCATTGCAATACATTTACTAACACAACCACACAATAGGGTGCAATGAAACCATTGAACTAAGTTTCAATATAATCAGGTGGGGATGGGGGTTGATTGCTGAGTCTCTGTTAATCGAATCCGTAGCCAACACGTGCGACAGAAACGATGAAGCACTCATACCGGAGACACGGACAATTAGCCACTAACAAAAACAAAGGATACTAGGTTGCGGGACCATAAAAATCAGTTTTTGGAAGTAGTAGGACCACACTGATACGATGATGGGCAATAAATTATGCTCGAAATGTTGTCAGGCGAAATAATACTGCATCATTATGAGTTTTTGGTCAAATAAACAAACGTAATTTCGAATTATGAGGTCAAAGCAAGGGGTCGAGGTCAAATTCGTTGTTGAACTCTTCACTCAAGAACCTTCCATGTCCACTGATATAACAGTAGGGGCATTGGCGTCCAGAAAAAACAATAAACTCTGTGAACATCGGATGAGATGATGTATTGTGACATTAAGTGGTCCACATGTCAAAAATCAACGGGACTGGATGGGCTGCACTCAAGGCCGCTCCTAGAACTTGACACACCTCTTGTGATTAGAAGGAAGTTATGGTGGAGTCCATGTGCAGGGTGGGTCCTAGGGGGCTTCCATCATGCCACAGACTGAGGAGCCTTATTGAAGCACTGACCGAGATGAATTCACAAGAAAGCCATCTCTGACCAACCAGAAAGCAAAACTCTTCCGTTGGGTTCTCACGATATCCTATGCAGAGGTTTCTCAATTGACGAATCTCCTCACGTTCAGAGAAGGCCGAGTTAGGACTACGAATGATAGGAAACCTTTAGATATTGTCTTCATTAAGATCGGTTAGGCATTCGACAAATGGCTTCTTTTAGGGTTTTCCACCAGAGTGAAGAATTTAAAAATCTCTGGCTATCTAGCTGCGTTGATCAGACATTTACTTGTTGACAGAAACCAAACAGTAAAGACCAACTCTAAGATCCTCATTTGGCAAGCGGTGAAAAGTGCAGAACTTCAAGGTGCAGCACTATGTATTCCGTTATTTCTCCTGGAAATGAATGAACAATTCAGTATCGGGAAACAGTCTATGGTTTTCTGCACTGGTTATGCAAAAATCCGGCGAGAAAAATGTGATGACAGGAATGTACACGTGAGCATGTACATTGAGCGCACAAAATACACTATCTACGACATTCGTGGAACTCATTTACCCTCAGAACTGACCCACAACTACCCAGGAGTCACAGTTAGTCAGGATTTGGAGTCCACAGGGCATAGTCGATCGGTTGAAACGTGAAGTTTTCGGTCACTTTGGGGATTACGAGTTAGGTCTACTGAACTAGGTAATGACATGTTCACTACCTAGTACACATCATCGCACTAGCTCTGAATCCTTTCATGGGAGGGGAATGAAACTCTCAGGAAAGAGCTCGTAGGACAGCCGCTTGAGTTATCCCCGCAATGACCATGCCCGACCTTTGAAGAAGGGCATATGGAGCTGAATCTCTTCTCTTTATCCTACTGCAGTCACAGGGAATATCCAGTGGCGCTTTACAGGACTTTTCAAATGAATCTGAGCATGGCCTGAGTTCTCGTTCCCCTCCCACTAGTTTGAAACGCAAAAGTAAAGAACGGAGGTTTTCTCTGTATGGCACCAGTTCTCGCATCGAGTGAACAACTTCTGGAACCGACCACCGGAAGTATCATTGACCGCGTCATCAATTGACAAGTTCAAAAGAGGACCGGATAAGAACAGAGATCTACCGGAAGAAGATTAAAACAGGCTCATAGCCTTACTTCCCCAACATAAAAAACCTGTTGCACCCTAAATCCTTCCTCTCGCTGATGTTGGTAAACTAGGGAGAGAAATCAGAAGTGAGGGAGGCAGTGCCTCTCAGCTCAATTTCACACATAAGCAGTCAACAATGGGCTCGCACCTGATCTTGAAAGATACCAGGGGTTACACGTAGAACATTATGCGTGTCATGCATATAGCTTCAGCGGCATGGAGCATGAGGCATCGCTGGCGGGGAAGGATTTGTGTGTTTTGGTCCCTCAAGACTTAAAATACTATGCGACTAAAATACTGTGACAGACACGCATTTTGCGTCACTGGTGTCACTAACCCTCAGACGAGTTTTTGGCCGATTCCACCACAGAATTTTTCACCGAATTTTAAACAGCTTCATACGTACTCACCTGAAGATCGGGACTGGACAAATTATACTTAGAATGCACCCAGATTCCGCTGTACAAAACCTATTCGATGACGTAGGCCTAAAATATGAAGAATGACTAGTTACGCTGGATGTAAAACTCTTTGGAGCGTATAAGGTTTTAAGAGGAAATGCAGTGATGACTTACAATATCCCGGGCACCCCGAACTGGACACCTACCTGTTAATTATTGGATCTTAGCTGTAGCATTAATCTTAGCGGACACACCGAAGGTAAGCTTGGAACATAGCTGGTTAGATATCAAGCACTATTCAAGACAACTCTGGAATTCTCTTCCTGTGGACGTGATCCAGGCTATTTCGTCTGCATCCTTCAAATGCCAGCAAGATACTTATTTGAAGTGTGGCTGGAATCTGCCTAGAACTAGTTGAATTTTCACGAATAAACAGCCACACTACTCTCTGTTTCCCTACTCGTAGACAGGTCAAAAGCCGCAAGAAGTAGTTATTAGCGGAGTTTTGACGTGGAAGCCAATTAAGCGAAACCTATTTCGTCAACAACCATTTGAACTATTTGATAAATCTGACATCTTCTGAAACTCTTACTACAGATGAAAGTTTAAAAAGCGTATGTCAAGAATCGCTTTCCAATGCTTCGTAAAAGTAGCTGCAAACTGCCCAGTTCTCTATTTGAGTAGTACGAAGTTATGAGCACTGTTTATCTTGTTTGCTTACATTATTTCACGCACTACAAAGCCCTATGTAGAGGCGGTTGTGTCAAATATCCTCTTTAGGTTGGTTGTTCTCCTTTGTTAAACTATTGTCGTTGTCTTGTCATCTATCCCGGGCTATTTACTAGACAACAAAACCACATATTCATAGTAAAAAGTGTTGAAGTGGCTCAGTTTTGGTTGGCATTTATATGCTGCCTTTCGGTTAATTTGATAGAGCACATTCCCATCGATCACGATCGTGATGTTGGGACATCAGTTTTTGTTTTTAGTTTCTTTTATAACTACTCTTATCTGAAGTACAGAATTTTATTATAGGAAACTGGTTTTGACCTAAATTTTTTCTCTGACCAGACAGTTATGGCATGTAACTCATACTATAGTACACAAATACGCGCTGTTTAGAAATTTTATGTTTACTGACGTCAGTGAAATTGTTGCATATTAGAAACAAGTTCCTCCTATTTAAACCTAGGGTACGGTCTGATGGGACATCCTTAAACAACTCCAACACTGGTCTCATATATGTTCTCATATTTAAGCAATAACAACGCTTTACAGACCGCATATCTTAACGATACGCTGCGTCTTCTAACACTTACGTAGCCAGTTTGCACAACATGTCTGTGTGTAACTTTATTTTGTTTGTAGTATGTCTTTTGGAAGTCTTGTCTACAACTGCCAACCTTGAATGAAGTCGAGACCTTAGAATTTAAAACTGCTATTCTTGAGCAGTTTATCGGCTTTAGTTCTTAATAGGATGAAAGTATTTTCAATTTCATCTCACTTCGGTCCCGCTAAGTATGAATTCAAGAATTTCACTTTCAGACCCTGCCTGTAGTTGTTTCTTAGTTTATTAATACCCGAGATTACAGATGGTGTATTTGGTTTAAACTATGCTCAACTTCTTCGGTTTTCTTGTGAAGCCCTATAATATTTATGACCCATAGCCTAGAGCCTAGGGCAGAGTGTAGTGGTTTGACTTGCCTCACCTGGTTTAAAAAACATTACCAACAATCGGTATTTGGTTCATCAATGAAAAATGTGAAAACATTTCTTAGTGATGCATGACATCATGTAAATGGAAGTGTTCAAAAACCTGCAGTCTAACTATCTCTTCAAGTCTTTTTGATGAAAAACAGTTTTCCTGGACTTATAAGTGCGGTATACGATTGACACCGAAATTTCATTTACGTTCTCAATTGTTTGTGTTGTAGGCGCAATGATCACTTGTGGTTTCCGCATTCTGATGGATAACTGGTGTGTGTACGAAGCGTGACTCCATACTATTTGTGTTAAAATAGGGAAAATCTGAACTTTCAGCGGTTGCTAGTGATCATTTGTAGCAGAATCACGAGGCGTTCACTGATTCTTCATGCAACACAACCAGCAGACGGTTTTCAATCTTTTTTTCGATTTGTTCGATTCATTTTTGTAAGCCAAACATTTTTCATCATCTGCATCTCATTTTTCTGTACTAAGCAGTCCATTTCTGTTTCGTATTATGACAAAAACTTAATATATCCATAATAAAAATCAATAATTCTCCGGGCACTTTAATACTAGACCATGTTAATATTTTATGTGAAGTTCGACTTTTCTTAATAATCACATTTATCTGAAAGATTGATGCTAGGATATGAGGTAGCTTTGATACAGATATTTGCTTATGGTCTTTCAATGTGTTTTCAGGCAGCTACTTATCTTGGGACTGAAACTTCGATTTTGCTTACTTCATTAATGTATTTAAAAACTGGGAGTTATGAAGCTTGACCATATTCATTAGTTCCGTATTACTTGTTCTCGAGTATGCAGCTCGTAGCAAAGATATTCCAAGTAAAACAAAAACAGTAATCCTTTCCACACATACTCTTCTGTTCACGATCATTTTTTTGTAACTACGACACGCCACGATTCACTATTATATGTTCAACAGTTGCTACCAAGTGTGATTAGTTTTTGGAAATAGTTTCAGAAGTTTTTCACTTATCACATGTATGTTCAGACACGTCATAGCACCACATCAAGCGAGATGGCAGCAAAATGAAAGACAAAAAAGAAAGAAGTAAAACGTCGTAGAAAATTGTCATAAGAGACCAAGGAGAACTGGGAGGATACTAAAATTCGGTATGACGATTAATATGGAGATAAGATGTGGGTGCATCCGCGCCACTGATATTGATTCTGAGCCACTTCATCCACTGGTCTTTAGTAACCACTTTCTGAGAGTCAGACAATGTCTTCGATGCTCTTTCCACAGCAGACTGGAGATGGCACAAACCTAGATGGCTGACATTGTTATGTGGAGTTGAGGTCATTGAACACCACATCACACAACCTATCGTAATATCTGAAGTCCGTACCAACCAGATATAAATGGTTGTTTGAACACAGTTGTAGCAGGTGACCACCCTTATCTATTTTCTGGCTGAGATTCCGAGTCCTTCTTAGTGCATTTCTATCTGGCTCAGCGTACACAATTTCGCATTGAAATTACGTGCTACGACAAAAACATTTGAACGTTTGAATTTCAGTAGAAGGCTAGAGTTTTTGATAGAACGTTTTTGACCGATGGCTCCTATCACAACATGATGTTCTGGCTTGGATATCACGACCCAGCTGACTATGTAGGCGGAATGCTCGTTCTCTCAAGGCCCTACCATACCAGGAAAGTCAATGGAATACTGGTAAGACGGAAAGGAGTTACCATATTAGTGTAAGTTGCTACACTGTGATGGAGATGTTGGTGACAACATTAAGATATTTCCCCTAGGTGGCCAGGAGTTTCACGCGGATGAAGTTTTCCCTATTGGGAAACGCTGACCCTAAAAATAGCACCCCTTTCCACCCCGCGGCATACCGATGCCGGCGATGTGGGTTCATAGTTGGATTCGAGACTAACAAAATAAGATCCCAAACTTCTAAGAAGGTCGTATGTGATCGACCTCAAGTCTGTACTTACTGACCCTTCTTTTTCAGGTACCTCAAAGGGAATTAGCCTTCCATGGTGTAGGCAGCCGGCAAGTATCAGTCGCTCGCACGCTTCTAGTAGTATCCAAAGGGCGAGAAAACGTAAATTACTCCCCTACTCTCTCACTCTATGTCCACTCCCAACTATCCAAACCATTGAAACAACATTTCTAGCCTCATAAAACCCCGCTTATGTCTGCCCCCTACTGGTCGCAGGAAACAAGCAACAGTAAAGCATGTCTATTGTCGATTAGAACATGAAAATGTCAAGTACATACTTAGAGCTGTAGCCAATCATTTATATGAGCACAACAGCAATGTTCACCCTGAAGAAACCTGGTGTGACATTATGTCTGCTGTGGAAACAGCGGTAAAGATAATCATTACTACACACCAGAAGGTTACCAAACGTCTTTGGATTTCAGCGATGTCATTCGAACGGATTGATGCAAAGAAACTTATTCCAGCTGGCTCTGACCATAACGAAGAGCAATAGGAACTTAAACGTAAGTTGACCAAGAGTCTGCGTCGATCACGGGAAGCAGTGGGTAGCGAAAGCGAGAAAAATGGAGGAGGCGTTAGAGGTAGGTAACATGGCAACCATTTAGGCTTATTAGGGATACCGGCAAAAAAGACGATGGTAAGTAAAGTGATCACCCAAAGGGATGGGACGCTGACGACCTCTCAGGAACGATGGGAAGAATACTTTAAAGCGCGGTTCTACTAGGCCTCAGCAACGCTTCAGTTGCCCAGTATCCAGCCGGAACCTGAGTGGGATATAGATGTCCGTCCTTCTTGAAGTTCAGAAAGCTGTATCGAACCTGGGGCGATAGAAAGCATCAGAACCTGACAGTTTACCGCCTGAAGTTTTCAAGGAAAGAGGTAAGACATTGCTGATTAGAGTGACGAAGGTATTAGGTAGTGTATAGGAATCAAAGGTGGTCCCGTCAGACCAGTCTAGTTCACTGGTCATCCCAGTTTATAAGAAAGGAGAGTAATATGACAACCATAGGGGAGTTAACGTGGCTGGTATTATGTCCGTAGTTCTCCAACGCCTAACTGAAGCTCGAGGACAGCAAACTCGAGAAAACCAGACATATTTCAGACCTGGACTGGGGTATATCGATCACATTTTTTCTGAAACAGTCATACCTGCATGCGCTCGACACTTACCATACCTCTTGACTTAAAGGCGACATTCAACTCTGTCGACCGTGAGGTGTGACAGTGTTTAACTGTCAAGAGAGTGCCGAGCAAGTATATAATGCTTATCAGATTTCTCTACTCGAACTCATACAGCTGTGTAAGGGCTTATGGAGAATTGTCAAGTAAGTTGACAACAACTAATGGTGTCCATCAGGGTTGTCCGTTGTCACCCTTCCTACTTAACTTCGTCGTAGACGAACTAATGGACATAACTTAGATACGTCTGACTTCACATGTACTGACTTACTCCCTGCAAGTCATCTAGTTCACTTGGAATATGCAAACAATATTTTCCTGCTAGGTGAAGACGCTGACGAAATTCAAGGTCTTCTGGACGCGTTAAGCGAAAACCTGGGTATATTTGCCACGGGTTTCTTACCTCTAAAATGATGCTCCAAGACCAATCTGCAACCAATCCTGTCTTCATGATAAGGAGTAAAGTGGTGGAATGTGTTGACTACTGTACTTGAGGAGTGACACCACTTCCAAGCCGGTCTCTGACGAAACCTTAGCCCGGATACAGAAAGCCTGTTTGCCATTTGCCAACTTGCATCACCTATGGTGCCCATTGGCGAGATATCCGAATATCTATCAAACGAATAATGGTCGATAATCTTGGGGACCTTCAGCAACTGACATGGGTTAGATATATGTGTTGTGCATGTCGAGCAACCGCCTACCATAAAATGCAGTTCTAGGAGAAGTTGGATCAGGTTAGAAGAGGGTATCTAGACTAAGACAAGGTATTAATCCATGAAGTTTCTTACTGTTAGTCTGAGGCGCGTATGAGGATGTAGGTTGCCTGTTTGGCGTTATCGAGATGATAGGGATCAATGGTTAGAGACTCTTGGTAACATGGCGAAAAATCGGTTACAGTAGCGCAGATG